TCAAACCCTATAGTGAACATTGTGCTTCACATGCTTCCCCAGCATCCATGCACCACCCCCCCTTCCTCCATGTATAGAAGCCATTGATTTGAGTGGGGTTGACCCTGCCCCCAACCTCAAGGGTAGGCCTGTTGGTGTCAGCATAACCTTACCTCTCTGTCTCAGAGAGGAGTAACCAAGCTCTAAGCCCATCAGTGCTTTGCATTTCATGGCCACAGTCAATCTTGCACAGTACCAGATTTTCTTTACTAATTGGGGGAGAAAAGAGCTCTCTTTTGCATCTCACCTTTCTCCTTTCTACTTTGCATCTAAAAGGTACCTAGTCCCTTTTTCTTTGACTTACCTTCCCAAAGAACCAGTAACACAAGACAGAGTATGTAACAGATGGTTACTGGAAGTTAAGGATAATGGAAGTGGTTACAGAATACACAGAACAACAAACAACATAAGATATTGGCCCATTCTTCAAAGTCTCTGTGCTATTCTTCCAATCTGGCTCTCTTTTCCTTTTAAGTACCAGCATCCACCATCTTGCTTAACACCCCTTCCTCTGGTCCACCTTCCTTGCATCTTCTTTATCCTCCCCATCTTCCTGGGTCCCTCACCCTCTCCCTCTGTGCCCACTCTGAAAAATAAACCACTTTCATTTCCTTTGCAAACTAGTTCAGCCTTCCTTTGCCTTAACTTCCTCTTCATATCAAGGCCTATGTTTATTCCCTTAACCTCCTAGAAAAGGACTAGAAGTTTTCTAAACAAAAACTCCTTTGTTGCTTAGGAAGGATTCTAAGGTAACTTCCAGCTTTCAGAATTATTTTTTATATTAGACAATTAAAGAAAATACTATCTGCCCATCACGCACATAGACTTCTTCCCTGGCTTCACATTCCACATCCCATCAGCCATGACATTCTATTGATTCTGCATCCGAGAACGCCCTCACGCTGAGCTCCTCCATTCCCACCTCACCCCACCCACGCCACTCTGCAGCTCTAGTTCAGGCCATCACTATCTCTTCCCTAGACTGGGGCTTCCAAATATCATCTCGTAGACTCTGATGAAGTTTGCACCAATCTTCAGGGAAAAGGAAAATTAAAGACAATGCAGTGAGTTTCTAGATATGTCTAAATTTATTTAAAATAAAAAACTCAAAAAATGAAGTTGGACTCTTACCTTACAATATATACCAGAATTAATTCAAAACGGATCAAGGGCCTAAATGTAAGATCTAAAACCAGAAAACTCTTTGAAGAAAACACATACGGGAAAGTTTCATGACATTAGATTTAGCAACAATTTCCTGGATATGATTCTAAAAGCACAGGCAACAAAAGAAAAAAATCGATAAAAATTGGACTTCATCAAAATATAAAACTTCTGTGCATCAAAAGATACTATCGAGAGAGCAAAAGATAACCCATGGGATGGGAGAAAACATTTGCAAGTCATCTATCTGATAAGAGAGTAATATCCAGAATATATAAAGAAGTCCTGCAATCCAACAACAAAATGACTAGATTAAAAAATGGGCAAAGGACTTGAACAGATATTTTTCTAAAGAAGATATGCAAATGGCCAATAAACACATAAAAAGATCCTCAGTATCACTAATCATTAGGGAAATGCAAATTAAAACCACGATGAGATATCACTTCACATTCATTCAGATGGCAGTTATAAAAAATGAAACAAAACAAAATATCAACTGTTGGTAAGGATATGGAGAAAGTAGAACCCTTGTGCATTGCCCGTGGGAACGTAAAACTGTGCAGCCACTGTGGAGAGGCGGTTCCTCAGAAAATTAAACATAGAATTATCAACATGGAATTATGATCCAGTAATTCCGGGGGAAAAAACTGTCCACTGACAGATAAATGAATAGACAAAACATGGAATATACACAAAAGGAATATTATTCAGCCTTAAAAAAGGAGGAAATTCTGACACATGCTACAACATGGATGAACTTTGAAGATATTATTCTGAATGAAGTAAGCCAGTCTTTAAATGACAAATATTATATGATTCCATTTGTATGAGGTACCTAGAAGACTCAACTTCTAGAGACAGAAAATAGAATGGTGACCGCCAGGAGACGAAGGGATGGGAGAAAGGGGAGTTAGTGTTTAAGGAGCATAGACTTTCAGTTGGAGAAGATGAAAACATTCTGGAGATGGATGGTGGTGATGGTTACAGAACAATGCAAATATACGTAATGCCACAGAATTGTAAACTTAAAAATGGTCAAGATGGTAAATGTTGTGTTATGTATATTTTACCACAATTAAAAAAAATCTATTAAAAAAAGAACTCACCTCTACTCTGAGATTGTCCTTCATACATTTTTGGTATGAAAATGTGTTTCATTAAAAATAAAGTATCAGGGCTTCCCTGGTGGTGCAGTGGTTGGGAGTCCGCCTGCCGATGCAGGGGACACGGGTTCATGCCCCGGTCCAGGAGGATCCCACATGCCACGGAGCGGCTGGGCCTGTGAGCCATGGCCGCTGAGCCTGCACATCCGGAGCCTGTGCTCCGCAGCAGGAGAGGCCGCAGCAGTGAGAGGCCTGCGTACCACAAATAATAATAATAATAAAAAACAATCTCAAATAATCTTTTTCCCCTTAATCCTTATTTAGCAAAAATTAAAAAGCTGACAAATTGAAAAAAAATAATAGTTGATGATACTACTGTTATTACCATTACTTGTCCATGAAATCCTAGAGGTTCAGGAGCTATTGTTCTAGTCTACCTGCCTGCTAACTTGCCTTCTGGTCTCCTCCACACCACTCCAGAATCATATTTCTGAGATCTCATCATGTTACTGTTTCAAACCCTTCAGAAACTCTTATTACAAACACTGCTGAAATCCAGGGGAGGTTGCACGCATCCCAAGTGTAACAAGATGATCCATGGTGTGCAAGAAGAAATCTAGAATTACAATTTCTATTAAATTTTCATTCTGTCATTAATAAGTATTTATTAAGTATTCTTCTGTGCCAGGGGCCATCTAGGTACTGGGGATAGGCAGTGAATAAAAGAATAATTCCCTGCCCTCAGGGAGCTTATACTCTAGTGTGCAACTTATAACCCACCTGACATATTAGTGCAGTATATCAATTATAGGTAAATAAATAAATAAATATACACTAGGGGTGTACACTCCAAAAAAGATTTTTATTGAATAAAACTACACAATCAAAATGTTGGACATCCCTGTCTTAAAGCATAAAATCCAAATGCCTTGATATGGGACATGTGTTTTTCATCATTTTTCAACACTCTCTACCTTATTAGTTATGGCCTAACTTTTCCAAATTGCTTGCCATTTCTTCGGCAGGCCCTTCTGACCCACAGATCTGCATATGCACACCTTCTGCCCGAAATGCCCTCATTCATCTGGCAAACCAATGCACTTCCAAGAGTCACTTTGATGACCTTTGCCTCATCCCCTAACACAGATTTAGTTGGATTTAGGCACTTTGCTTCCACGATAGGAACTGGTGTTTCCAAACGTCATGCCACAGACACTGTGGACACTATTATTGTATTATCTTGGCAGGTATTATGGATCAGATACTCAAAATCCCCTTTCCCCCTTGCCTATCTGTACAATAAAGCCTGGAAACTTATCTTTCTAGACTCCCTTGCAGCTAGATATAATCATGCAGAACAGTCTATCCAGTGAAATGCAAGTGAGGATCCCTGAGGAATCCCACAGGCATTTCCTCCAATAAACCTCTTGCACATCTAATTCCAGGTGGCATCTTCTTCTCAGAAGACCCAAACTAACATATCAGAAAATTTGAGTAATTTGCCTGAGCTAATGGCATGGGTGGAATTTGAACGCATGTATTTTTCACTCCAAAGACCAAACAAGTTCTTTCCAACACACTGCATTATAATTTTGTATTGAGTTAAATAGTACCCTCCCCCGCCCCCCAAAGATATGTCTACATCCTAACTCCTGGAACCTGTGAATGTGACCTTATTTGTAAAAAGTCTTTGCAGATGTAATTAAGTACCTTGAGATGAGATCATCCTGGATTATGTGGGTGGGTCCCAGAACCAATGACAGGTGTCCATGACAGCCACCATAAACTGCAAGAGGCAAGGAGATGTTCCCCTAGAATCTTCAGAGGGAGTGTGGCCCTGCCAACATCTTGATTTCAGCCTTCCAGCTTCCAGAACTGTGAGATAATAAATTTCTGTTAAGTGACTGAGTTTGCGGTAATTTGTAGCAGCAGACAAGAGAAACTAATACTAAATTTTTCTTGTTCTCTATCTTGGTACTAGCACAGAACCTGACACATAGTATATGTTTTAAAAGAGTGAATTAGTTAATAGATTAATACATGGGGACGATGAAACAGCTTGACATTGTTTCCAAGTAACTTGGACTGAACGTTATATAACTGTACTTGATGATAGATTTCCAGTATGAGGTTATCTAGGAAGAGAACTAATATTTATTGAGCGGCTGCTGTGTACCAGAAACCAAGATAAGTTTCATAAATTACATTACAGTAGGACTATTATAAATTATAGCGGTAAAGGCAAGGTTTTGGAGTCAAATGTGAACTCTGATTCTTATTAGCTGTATGACCTTCGGCAAATTACTTAAACTGTCTTAGCCACAATTTCTTATCAGAAAAGTGGGGAAATGAATCCTATCTCTCCACCCTGTTTTCGAGGATTAAAGGAGATAAATAGCTGAGCACAGTGCCAGGCACCCAGAAAATCTCAACAAACATGAGTTATTATGAGGGTAACATGGTCGTGTGTGCAGAGGGAGGTGCTGGAATTGGACCCTCACCTGAGAACAACAGGTGCGAAGTGCCGGCTTGCTGAGACGAGCCCTGTAGGTCACCTTGGCCTGTAGGAGGCAGTGTGGTTTAAGCTATCTTGCCAGTACCCTCCCCTTGGAAGGGCGCCTGTGGCGGGAGGGGGCTCTCAGCAGCAGGAAGCTGTCGGGGCGGGGGTGGGGGCCACTTCCGGCAGAGGGCTGATTTGGGGGCAAGCTGAAGCCTCGTCTCCCCACCAGGGAGCAGGCAGAAGGAAGACCTTCACGGAGCCCTCCAGAGCACGTAACAGGAGAGCCCGCATTTGGATGCCTGCCCATACACTGGGAACAAAGGGCCCGTCGGTGTCAAGTGGAGGCGCTGTCGTGACCAGCTGAGAGGGTTACGAGCTTACAACCGACAGTCTCGTAAAACGAGACCGGCCTCGCCGTCCTCCGCCCCCCACGCCGCAGCAGTGCATGCTGGGAAGCGGGAGGCGTTGCTAGAACGGGAAGAAGCCGGACCCCCCCTCCAAAGCGCTGCTGTCAGCCGCGAGCGCACGTTCCAGTCCCTCAGGGAAACTTTGAAAAAAAAATTCTTGGTATGCCCAGATATTCCGATTTAACTGGTCTGGAACGGAACCCAGGCATTGAAATTTTTAATGAGCAGCCTGAATTGGGAACCACTTCCCTAAAGCCTGCGCTTGGGAGAAGGTGGAGGGTTGCCAGATTTAGCAAACAAAATGAGCGGTACTTAGATGAAAACGTTATTTATCTAGAACTCTAATTTCATTGGCACTCTGCAGTTTTAAGAGGGAAGGAAAAGTACTGGAAATGGACAGAAGGTTGAAATTTTTAAATGAACAGGGCAGAATCTTAAGGAATGAAAATAACCGTCTAATGATAAAAGGTGACTGAAACACTATGGAATTGGGCTGATCTGTTACTTAAAGGAGCAGCTACCCAGTGAGAAATGGGGGTTTGAGAGTTTGGGAGCAATTTCAGGAAAAATAAACCGTTTCATGTTTATGACCCCAGTGAACTGAGATTCCCAGTAAACCAGTGATATCACTCTGACCTTGCCCCAGAGATGAGCAAACAGAAGCCTGGAGAATTTACGTGATTTGTGCAAGTTCAACACAGCTGGTAAGTGACAGAGCCAGGATTTGAACCTAAGTTAATTTGGCTCAAAAAAAAAAGGGGGTGGGTGGGAGTTAATGGAGTAGAAAGCTCTTTCTACTGTGCCATAATGACTTTCAGACGTGTTTTGTTTTTTGTTTTTTGGCATTAGCAATATTAACAGATTGATTCCCTAAAACCGTAGTTAACCCATAAAATAGCCCAGGGAAACCCAACTTCATTTGAGGTAGGGGCTGGAGTTGTGCATTCTGGAGCCTTGGGGGCCCAGACCCTCTGGACTGGCCTGTTCCTGCCTTCCGGCCCTGCCCTGGGTGAACAGGGTGAGGGGCTGAGCTGGGACATGCCTGTCTCCTGTCCTGTCCTCTCAGTTGCTGAGCAGTCAAATGGCAGTGGCTGCTTGGATGTTTACTTTGTGGTGATTTCTGCTGCTCCATCGTGATGTTAACTGCTTAAATTTCTGTATTTTGATTAAATGCCATCTCACTGTGCCTATACTTGTTGTGCTTGAGTCCTGAGGCTGTTTTAGGAAAGGGTACAATTTTGTAAATGAAATGGAGAAAAATAAACAAAACCACCTGTTCTGCAAGACTGCGTGCTGCCCAGTGGAGCTCTCCCATCCGTCCCTCCCTCCCTGACTCCCTCCCACCAAAGGAGGGAGGTTCTCTTTCCCCATCCAAAAGTAATCTTTAGATGGGGGCTCCCAGTCACAGGGCCTTGGCTTTGGGGGGGCTGAGAACAAGCTGTCGTGACAGGCGGGGGCAGCGACTCACAGTGTGGGGGAAGACAGGCTGCTGAGGGCGGCTGGTACCCAAATTACCTTATGCTCCCATATGTGAAAGAGGCAAAACTTACTAATGAGTAATACCAGCCTTCGGCTCGCCCATTCCCACCACCTGTTAAAGGAAAATGTGTCTTTCCCCCCTCAGCTCCCCTCTTTCCTCACCCACATGTGGAATTCCATGTTTGCCAGCCTGCCTCCTGGGATTTTGAGACGTGGGATAGAGGGATGGGTGCAGACAGGACTACAAGAAACAGGAGGGAAGAGAAAAGGAACTAAAGTGGAGGGGTTTGTGGACTGGGCTTTCAGGAACGTTTTTGGTAGAGTTGAGAGTAAGATACAAAGTAAGTTTTAGGCTGGGAGAGAAAAGGTATTTTTTTTTCTAAATAATTTATTGAGGTGAAATTCACATAACATAAAATTATCCTTTTTAAAGTGAAAAATTCAGTGGCGTTTAGTTACATTCACCATGTTGTGGAACCACCACCTATCTATTTCTGAAACATTTTCATCACCTCAAAGTAAAACCCTGAGAAAGGGTAGTTTAAGATGGTCCATACGGAATAGGAATTGGATCCCTTAATGTTCTTTAAGATAAGTAAGTGAAAATCTCTTGGGGTTTGTTCTTAATAACTTGAGTTGTGGAATTTGATAGGACTTTGACCTACCCAAACTAGGCCATAAGGTCCCTGGGGGTTATTGGGTTCCATAAACACATACAGTGATCCCACGGTTACCCCACTGCCCCCTGGCAGGAGACCTGCAGGAACACTTCACCCTAAACACAGCATTAGGTCCTGCACATCCCAGACTATGGGTCCCTCACAGTGGCCTTGGTATTTGTCATGACATGACTTCACCGGGTCAGATGTTGGGAGGGACAGGAGGCATTCTCTGTGATATGTCCTGTACCCACATCCTCTAAGGAGGGTCTGGCCTTAGTATCCCCCAGGAAAGGCCCCCACCAGCAGCTTTGGAGTTCAAACTTTGAGTATACCCAGAATCCTTGAAGTACCCTTCAGATAAGTGGAGCTGCTCACTCCCATCCATACATTCCCTGCAACTTCTCATTTCTTAGTCTTCTCAAGTATCCATCCCACCCGCTCTCTCCCCCAGTCCCTTACCCCAGATGACCAGGTGCTAATAGCCTTTTAACTTTCTCCATCTTCATATAATGACATAAGATTATATACACATAGATATATAGATTATATATCAGATAGATGATAGATGATAAATAGATAAATCTCTGTATATGTAGGGTTTGGGGAAGTTCATTGCTTTCTCTGGAAAAATTAGATCATGGATTTTGTACATATTCTATTTCTCACTTAAAAATACCTTGTGGAAATCCCTCTGTCACCTGGTATGGTTCTAATACATTGTTTTGTGTTGGCTTACATAATAATTCATGATGAGACTTTTTCATAATTTATCCATTATTTATCTTTCTCTTGAAAGACATTTTTTTGTTTGTTTTACGTTTCTGTCACTACAAACAGTGAAGCAATAAATATTCTTAAGCCTGTATCTTTATGTACTGATGCTTTTGCTTCTACTGAATAGATTCCAAGGTTGAAGGGCATGTGTATTTTAAAATTTATTATATATTTCCAGATTGCTTTCAAAAAGGCCCAAACATCATATTTTCAGTAGTAAAATATAGAGAGTGCTTTACCCACACCCCTACTAGCAACAGTCGCTATCACTCTAGTTTTAATATTTTCCATTCAGATCGTCGTAAAGTGATATTTCATTGTAAACTTAATTTGCAGTTTGTGGACTACTGGTGAGCTTGAGCATCTTTTCAAGTTTGTTGAGAATTTGGATTTGCTTTTCTGTGAATTATCTATTCATAGTCTTTGCCCATTTTTTGATTGGGCAATTTGTAGGAGCTCTTTTTATAGTATTGTTATTTATCATTTATCTGTCATCTGTAAAACTCTTTCCGTCCAAATGTATCACTTACGTATTATCTTAGTGGCATTTTCAATTTAAGTCAAATATGTCTTTCTTTCAGAGGTTCTGGGTTTCCTGTTATGATAAGAAGATTCCCCAACCCATGTATTTACCTAGATTTTCTTCTAAGCTAGTTATTGTTTTATTTTATACAAATGTAACAAGTCTTATATATGTCTAAAATTTGTTTTTGTATATAGCATAAGATGGGATTCAACTTGTTCTAGTAAGTTGAGCTAGTATCATTTATTAAATAATCTATTCTTTCCCAGCTGTCTTGAATTATCAGCTTTGTATTAAATGCTCACATGTACCGGGATTGATTTTTTTCATCCCCTATTCTGTACCTCTTACTGTTGGTCTCTTCCTGTACTAATACACAATGATTTAATTACTATAGCTTTTTGGAGTGCTCTGATACTGATAAGGTTAGACGTCTCTTATTGTTATTCTTTTTCCTGTTTTTCTTACCTTCTGAACATTTATTGTCTGTGTAAGTTCTAAGCACATTTTATCCAATTAAAAAACAAAACCTGTTGGAGGCAAAGTAAGTCTGTGGTATTACAAGTCAAGATAGTAGGTGGTTTCTCCTTGGTGTTGGGGGACACCGGGAGGGGACGGGATGGGGAACTTAAGGAGTGCTGGTTATGTTATATTTCTTTATGGGGATGTTAGTTACATGGGCACACTTATGGTTTGGCACTTTTCTGTATGTACACTATACTTCAAAACCAATTTACTTACAATCAAAAAATCTACTGGTGCTGTGGAGAGAAATCAAAGATTTAAATAAATGAAAGGGGGACCATGGCTGTGGATTGAGAGACTCAACATAGTAAAGATAACTAATTCTCTCCAAAGTGATATACAAATATAATGCAGTTCCTATTAAAAAAAAAAACCCACAAACTACTGGGATTATAATTGGCATTGTATTACATTTATATTTGGGGGGAGAAGGAATTTGTTAAGATATTAACTCCTCTGAACAAATTGATTGGTGTTAAAGTTTCTTCAGATTTTGTTTTGGTTTTTTTCATAAGGTTTTTTTCCATAGTCTTATGTTTCTTTTATATGTATCCCTCAATATTTTATAGATTTTGTCACTAAAATTAATTGAGTATTTTTCTCATTTCTATTTTTAGGTGAACATGCTATAGTATAGAGAAATGATTAATTTTTGTATGCGTTTCTGTAAAATTTGTCACCTTACCAAATTCTTCATTAATTTGAGTGTTTTTTTAAAACTAGATTTTCCTGGGTTTTCTAGTAATGGAGTCATGTGGTCAATGGAAGAAAATATTATCAAATACTTATGTCAGTTACTTAATTTTATGTTCTTATTATATTTTCTAAAAACCTCCAAGTCAATGTTAAACAGGAACATTAATAGCAGGCTTAAATCTGAAAAGAAGAGATAAAACCTTGAGCAAAAAGAAATATTCCAATACTTTATTTCATCTTTCACATGCTTGTACTAATCACTTCATTTTCTTACCTTATGACATTTGTTTTAATCTCTGAATCTTGAAGAAAATGTTGAGTTACAGTGGCAATAGTGGGCATTTTTGTCTGGATTTGATTTTAATTGAAGTGCTTTTGGTGTTTGACCAATGAGAATGATATTGGCTGTTGGTTTTTGATAAAGAGACTTCATTATATACAACAACTATCATTTCATTCTTATTTTCCTTAAAGCTTTAATATGGGTGGCTACTGAATTTTATCAAATACCTTTTCAGGAACTATTGATAGGGTATGGTTTTTCACTTTTAATTTATTGATGAAAATATATATGTTGATAGATTTCTTGATGTTGTGCTTTGTAATCCTAGAATAAACTCTGCTTAGTTACAGTGTATTATTTTTTTTGCCACATGGCTAGATTCTATTTGTTAATATTTTATCTAGCATTAAAATCATGCTTGCTTCATAAAATAAATGGAGAAACTTTCAGTTTTTTCCATGGTCTAGAATAAATTAATTAACACTGATGTTATCTATTCTTTGAAGATTAGAAAGCTGAGCTGTTAAACCATCTGTCCTGATACCCTTGTTAATGGTTGATATTTAACAACCTTTCTTTTCTCTCCCACTCTCCCACTGAAAATTCAGGTTTTCACTTGGATTAATTTTGGTAATTTCCTCTAGATCTTCAAATTTATTGTCATAGAATTAGCATATAGTAAACTCTTATAATTATTTTAATCTCTTCTGTATCTGTGATGATGGCTCTTTTTTCACTCCCAATTTTGTCTATTTTTTTAAA